CCAAGATGGCTTTCTCTCCATGAAAGAAATACCCATTGCTACTTTACTATCTTGGTCAAAAACTGACCCAACTGGATCAGGCCCTCTGGATAAGTGAGACAGTTGATTAGCTTAAACTGTTTGGGAGGCATCCAGGCAGTGGGACCAGGACCTGTCCTCAGTGCATGAGCTGGCTGTTTGGAACCTGGGGCTTATGCAGGGACACTTGGCTCAGCCTGGGAGGAGGGGACTGGACCTGCCTGGACTGAGTCTACCAGGTTGATCTCAATCCCCAGGGGAGTCTTTGCCCTGGAGGAGATGGGAATGGGGGTGGGGGAGGTGGGGAGAAGGCGGAGGGGGGGCGGGAGGGGGAGGGACAAGGGAATCCGTGGCTGATGTGTAGAATTAAATTAAATTATAAAATTTAAAAAAAAAACTGAGCAGGAACCACAGCCTACCCATCTCCACACTGCCCTTTCTCAGTTGCTTTCCACCCTCAAAACCTCTGCTGCTCTTGTTGCCTTGTTAGTCTTACCTCCGCCTTGGCTGCTTGTCAGTTTGTTGATGTGGCTCCATTCACTTTTCAATTTCTCCAATCTTCATCCAACACCCCCCTGAAAGATGACTGTAGCACATCACAACCAACCTCAGGTTTGCACGTGGGAACAAGAATCTTGAAATGGGAGGTTATTTTGGGTGGTCCTGGTCAACCCTAACGTAATCATGAAAGTCTTTATAGAGAAAAGCAAAAAGGTTCAAGGAGTAAGAAGGTCAAGTGAGGATAGAAGAAGGGGAAGAGAAGATGATGGAAGGTGGAACTCAGGCCAAGGAATGCGGGGAACCTGTAGAACCTTGGAAATGCAAGGAAATAGGTTCTGTCAACACCTTAATTTTAGTCTGTAAAGCTCATTGGAATTATGACCCCAATAATTATGAAAAAATACCTTGTGTTATTTTTAATTTGGATAATTTTAAGAATCTTAATAGGAGACTAATGTAACACTTAACAAAGATTGGAAAACGAATACATGTGAGACAGCTTATTTACAAATCTGTGGCTTATGATGGGGTTGTGTTCCAATATACCCATCACAGAGAGCATATAATGGAAGTTGAAATACATTTAACTATTCCAACACACTGAACATTGTAACTTGGTCTAGCTTACTTTGCATGTGCTCACAACACATTATTTTAAGATGAGAAAAGTCATCTAACACAAGCCTCTTGTGTTAAGCCTCTTTTCTAAGAGTTTGTCTTCTGTACACATACAGATGATGAAAAGTCTTTATAGTGATCTTTGTGATGAGATGCAAAAGCACAGAACAGTATCCAGACACTGCAGGCAACAACACTTTATTGTATTGTTGACTGCTTTCCCTCGTGATTGTAGGGCTGACCTGGGGCTGCAGCTCACCCCATGCAGAATCTCCAGAGTCTTAGCACAAACCACTAGCCTGGGAAAAGATCAAAGCAGGAGACATCTAGCATATCTCTCTGACATCTTCACAACACCATAAGGTAGACAAATCTTAAGTTAAACCATGGCAAGTGAGGAGAGTTCTGAGTGTGTCTGTCCAGCCTCTGAGCCACCCCTCCCTTTTGCAGAAACTTAATCCTGAGAGAAGTGGCCTGAAGTTCTTTGGAGGAAATTCCAGTAAACATTATATTGATAATGAAGGAAATAACAGAGATCTGTTAGATTTGTCTCAATTCCAAATTTTGTCAAGTTGACAAAATAATCCAATACATCGCTGATCAGCACTTTAAACCCAACTTCAGATGATAGGATGAGACAGATCTGTTTCCTTTGATTTCCTCCCACTTCCCCTACCTTCATCTCAAACTTCTCTGCTTTAGATCTGTATTAGTTATTTTTCTCAGTGGCGTAACAAAATCTTGACAAGGGAAACAAGAGCTGGACATGGTGGTGGACATCTGTAATCCTAGTTGTTGGGAAGCAGAGGTAGGAGAACCAGGAGTTCAAGGCTACTTCTTCATTATATGGCAAGTTCAAAGCCAACCTTAGTTAACTAAGACCCCCATCTCATATGGATGGAATACACTTCCTGTGAAAACCGTGTGGCTAGCAGCCTACTCACAGAAAGCATATTCATCCTTTCTTGGACTTTTTAGTTTTATTTTTCCATCCAGGACCTAAGCTCATAGACTAGTGCCACCTGCTTTTAGGATGGGTAGTCATGCCACAGTTAAACCTCTTTGGAAAAACTCTCATAGACAGCCCACACATTTGTTTCCTGTTGTTTTCAAATCCTGTCCAGTTGACAAGCTAAACCAACACCCTCTGATTGGTGCTTTAAACTCAACTTCCGATAGTAGGATGAGTCAGATTCTATTTCCTTTGATTCCCCCCTCCCCTTTCTCCTACCTTCACCCCAAACTCCTCTGCTCTCCTCTAGTTACAAATATCTCAACACGTAACAAAATACAGAGGCAGTGCTTGTTCATGTAGGAGTTGATTAGGTCTTGAAACTACCAACCTCTAGCAGGTATTAACATCTTTTAGCTTATGAATGTAGGTGAGTATTACAGCTCTGGAGGGAAAGGTATCCTGATTGTTCTGGAAACCAGGCTATACCTAAATTTGGGGTAAGGTGGGGGATGATCTCCCCACAGTATATAGCAATGCTGCTCCTCTCCTGGAGAGCCACTACAGCTGAGCTTTTCTCCACCCCCTTAAGGGGGCTCCCCAGCAGAGCTCTGCCTCTTCTCTCCAGCTCAAGATGTTGCTTCTTCAGCTTCACTCTGTTAAAGGGGAAACCCCTGCAGGAATGTAGCAATGTCCTCTGGCTCCAGCGAAAAGTTGTTACTTTTTTCTGTTCCACCTTGCTCAGTCCCCTAACAGACATCTCAGCAAGGTTCTTCTGTTCAGCTCCGCCTTGCTCAGTCCCCCTAAAGGAACATCTCTGCAAGTTTTTTTCTGCTCAGTTCCTTAAGGGACATCTCAGCAAGGTTCTTCTTTTCTGTGCCAATGAATGAAGATCTTCACACTCAAAACTTTTGAGAAAGAGATTTATTTGGGAAGGAGGAGTCCAGGAGAGTGGCTGCCTCTGCCAGGGTGGGAAAGGACAGCCCACAACTGAACAGTCAGAGGGGTTTATATAGGGTTTCTTAGGGGCAGAGTTTCTCCAGGGAGAAGATTTTATGCTCAGGGATTGGTTACTTTTTCCTGCTCAGGGATTGGTTAGTTTCATTGGTAAGGGGCAGAGATGGCTCTGATTTCAGAGCCAAACTGTGATTTTTTTTTCCCCACCGGCCTTTTTTAGCTTTTTGGTTCTAGTTCTAAAGCCAGGGAGTATTTCTTTCACTGGCTCTGATTCTAGGGACAGAGTATGTTTCTTTGGCACTGGTTTCAGAGTAAGGGCATGTTTCTTAGATTCTGGGTTCAGGGATAAAATGTTTCTTTCACTGGGTCAGGTCTCAGATCCAGGGTGTGTTTCTTTCACTGGCTGGCCCTTTTTCCCTACAATGAGACTGATTTGGTTATTTTGGAAGCTAATTGGCCAATGGCTATAAATCCAGCCAGCCTTCCTTCCATCTTTCTCTCCCACCAGCAATGGAGGAATATTTCCCTTGCTGTATCCACATCCTCTCTAGCATAAGCTGTCATTTGTGTTTTTGATCTGAGCCATTCTGACAGGTGTAAGATGGAATCTCGGAGTCATTTTGATTTGCATTTCCCTGATGGCTAAGTATGTTGAACATGTCCTTAATTGTTTCTTGACCATTTGCGATTCTTCTGTTGAGAATTCTTTGTTTAGATCTGTACCCCATTTTTTAATTGAATTATTTGGTTTGTTGATATCTAGTTTCTTGAGTTCCTTATATATTTTGGAGAGCAGCCTTCTGTTGGATGTCAGGTTGGTGAAGATGTTTTCCCATTCTGTAGACTGCCAATTTGTCCTATTGATGGTGTCCTTTGCCTTACAGAAAATCCAATTTCGGGCTGGAGAGATGGCTCAGAGGCTAAGAACACCGGCTGTTCTTCCAGAGGTCCTGAGTTCGATTCCCAGCAACCACATGGTGGCTCACAACCATCTGTAATGAGATCTGGCTCCCTCTTCTGGCCTGCAGGGATGCATGCAGACAGAACATTGTATACATAATAAATAAATAAATCTTTAAAAAAAAAAAAAAAAAAAAAAAGAAAATCCAATTTCATGAGATCCCATTTATTGATTGTCAATCTTAGTGCCTGTACTATTGGTGTTCTGTTTAGGAAGTTGTCTCCTGTGCCAGTGCATTCGATATTATTTCCCACTTTCTCTTCTATCAGGTTCAGTGTATCTGAATTTATGTTGAGGTCTTTCATCCACTTGGATTTGAGTTTTATGCAGGATGATAGATGTGAATCTATTTTCATTCTTCTACATGCAGACATCCAGTTAGACCAGCACCATTTGCAACAAGTTCTCTTAATCACTATCATCCCTCCAGCCCATATATTTAATTATATTTATTCCCTAGCATTTCTTGCATATAAGAATGAATTCTAATTACTGTGCATATAAGAATGAATTCTGCCGGGCGGTGGTGGCGCACGCCTTTAATCCCAGCACTCGGGAGGCAGAGCCAGGCGGATCTCTGTGAGTTCGAGGCCAGCCTGGTCTCCAAAGCGAGTTCCAGGAAAGGCGCAAAGCTACACAGAGAAACCCTGTCTCAAACCCCCCCCCCCCAAAAAAAAGAATGAATTCTAATTACTCTCACTTTCCACTCCTATTAACCTTCTGTTCTCCTTATACATCCTTTTCCCACATGCATGTCTTTATGTTTTGTTTTGGACTACTGCGTTTACTATGTGACTACCAGTCTAGAACTGTATGTTGAGCCGGGCGGTGGTGGCGCACGCCTTTAATCCCAGCACTCGGGAGGCAGAGGCAGGTGGATCTCTGTGAGTCTGAGGCCAGCCTGGTCTACAAAGTGAGTTCCAGGAAAGGCGCAAAACTACACAGAGAAACCCTGTCTCGAAAAACAAACAAACAAACAAAAAGAACTCTATGTTGATAGGTTCCCTAGTATATACACAACTGAGGACAACGACTCCCCCCTCTCAGAATTTTTCACTAGACAATAATTTAGCAGAGAGGGGTAGAAGTGCATGAGCACCTCCCACATCCATGGCAGAGCCGGTCTTGTATAGGACCAGTACAGGTAAGCAGAGGTCCTGTGAGTTCAAGATTGAAATGGCTTTGTCATGCCAGAAGGTAACATTTTGAAGTCCTTCTTCCCATCTGGCTCATACATTCTTTGCGCTTCCTCTTCCATAATATTCCTTGAGTCTTAGAGGAAGTGTTTTAAATGCCTTGTTTAGGGTGAGCATTCAACCATTATTTATTCTTAGTAACTTAAACAGCATGAGTCTCTCTGTTCACAACCATTCATTTCAAAGACAGGCTTCTCTCATTGAAGCTGAGAGTAGAATTTGTCTGTGGGTAAAAACAGTTATTTAGAAGGCAGCTTAACGTTATATAAATTTAACTAAACAGTAATTGTTAGCTCCTTATTAGGGCCTATGACTTCCCTGACCTTATGCTTTTGGCCAGGTTTACAGTACCATGCACGGATTCCTTCCTATGGAGCAGGTCCTGAATCCCATCAGAGAGGGATTGATTATCTTCACAGTCATGCCACCACTACATCCATGGGTATATCTTGCCTGGCAGGTTAGAATTGAAGTTTGTAGGGCTCTGAGTTGGTTAAGACTTGATGCTTTGTCTCTTCCAGCAGTCTATGTAGCACCTTCCAGCCATATGAAATCCAGCCAACAAGAAGGAAGTTTGCAGCTCAGGTCTAAATTGTTTTCTCTGTGTCTTACAATCAAAGTGCGTGGTATCTTCATATTATCTAATTCTGGAAGACAACAAAGAGAAATGGTAAGAACCTATATTTTATTTTTTTAATTAGCTTACAAAATAATGGACTTCATTATGATATATTTATAAATGTGCATCATTATATTTTGTGGTATTCTGCTGAGGGCCGCAGAAATATATCATAAGAACTTAGCTGGTTATGGCAAAGTCACTACCTGAAGGGATCAAGGAATTCCTTCAGAGGAAGCCAAATTCCAAGGAGCTTTTGGTGTTACTTGGCTTGTTATATATCAGCTGTCTTCTGTTATAAAAATCATGTGTGCCTTCATAGTTTTACCAATTGACTTTTCCCTTAGAAGGGCTAACAATGTGGACTGATCACTCTCTGGACATACACATTCAAGGTATTTGGAGAACAGCCTCAGGAAAGGCTTCCTCTGGAATCAGATATCTCCCTTAGCCACTTTCAAGGACTAACAGTAATAACAGTCCACATGCTAGTCTCCTGATTTAAGGTAAATTCCACAAGGAGACACTGCCTAGGTCAGGTGGATGTTAAGCAATAGCTTTACACAATTTAACTTGGAATCTCTTTCTTACAGCCGTACTAACTTTATAGACCTCTAACTCCTTACCTAACCACTTCTAGGAATATTTAGATAACCTTCTGCGCTAACAGCTATGGTCAGCTAGAACCCCAATTCAAGCCTCCCTGTAATTATCATCATTGGCAGCATCCGGCCAGGTCCATCCCTAGATGGAGGAAAGTACCTTATCAGAGATACCTCTGTAATCTCTAAGAACAGGCTTAAGCATCCAGGCAACCTGTTTGAGAAGGCCTGGTGGCTGTGCCAATTAAGCTTAACTTCCTCCTTTCCCAAATCTTATCTCTAGTTCCAAATCTCCCTTTAACTATCACCAGAGGCATCTAGCTGTACATAGGTTGCCTAGCGACCAAGCACACTTTCCCCCACCCTGCAGAAAAATGGCAGATAGCTTGGACAGATAGGAGCCACAAGAAAAAAGAAGGCAGTTTTATTTTTCTCCCATTGACCTAGAAACTTATAGATTCTTAACATTTTCTACCAATGATGCTTAAGATTATAGTTGAGCACATAAAATTCCTCTTCTTAGATATTACCCAATTTATCCTTTAGTTAATCATTAGTCATTTCCCTTTTGTGTTGCAAATGATAATTAACAATTACTGCCTCTCTATGTGATTCTTATCACCCCTCCGTTTGACCCTGGAAGCCTGGTGGTCACTGCCTGAGGAAAATTCTTACCTACCTTTATGACCCTGTAGAATTCATGCCCGGGTGACCTTGCTCGACCAGGGGACTGCTTGGATTTATAACTGGATTTCTGGGAAACTTAAGAAAGACGTGGAGGATGGAGAGATGGAGAACAGAGAGGGATAAGGAGGATTTTGACCAGAGAGAACATGTGGACGAGATGGAAGATGAGGAAGAGTCAGATGGGGAAGTACTAGCTGGGTAAGAACGAAATGAAAAAGACCTAGATGAGGCAGAATTAAGATGGGAGAATTAAGATTGAACTTAGAGGGAGAAGTAGATGAATATAGAGAGAAATCAGGCAAGAAAGGAGCTAGGCACAAGAACAGAACTGAAACGGTGTAAATAGGATGTTATTCCAGAGAATTAAAGTGAATGGACTAAAGAGCTCGGTGTGCTGAGATTCTATTTCCCGAAAATAGTCCTCACCATTAGTAGTTCTCTCTCCTGAGCCCCTGGGATGTACAATATTAAGGCTGGTCCCTCTATTAACAAGAGTATTCATCCCTTGTTACCCTTTCACATCAGTCTTCATCCCTCCCATGCTTTCTTCCTTTCCCCATGTATCACCCTTACCTTTTTATGTCTTACATGTAATTAAAAAAATCTAGATTCTTCATATGAATGAAAAATAGATATTTTTCTTCCCTCCATAACCTCTCTTATTACTTCTCCCTCTAGTCTCCTCCCCCCATCCAAATAGTCCCTTTTCTTCTTTGGTGTCATATATACATGTAGATTCCACATGTGACAGAAAGCACACAATATTTGTCTTTCTGACTCTAGCTTATTTTTCTTAACGTCATTTCTACTTCCATCCATTTTTTAAAAATTATATACTTTCAGTCTCTACTCATACCATGTATCAATACTGAAAAATAAAACTTTATCCATACCATCACTCTCCCTACGCTCACACTTTCACTCTTTATGAAGAAAAGGAATTCTTGTCCCAAAGTATAACAAAATTAGGATTTTGAGAAGTGATCAAAAGAGGTAAAAAAGGATAATGTCTGTCTTGTCGATGTTCTTCCCTGCACAATCTGACAGAACCAAGATTGATGATCCTCCTCCAGGCTCTGGCGTATAGGATGCTATTTGGTGCGGCCAGGATCCTGAGGAGTCAGTGCAATCAGAAAAAGACAAGTGCAAAATTAAATCTATCTTTACATCAAGAAATGTAAAGACGTGACTTATTCTCTGCACTCATCATAGTTTCCTGATCCTCTGCCATAAAACTATTTAATCTGTGTGGTACTGAAACAGTGGGATGACTCTGGTTTTATAGTGTAATTCACAGTGTGCAGTCTCATTCTGCAATTTGCAAGCCACTGGAAGTACTTGGTTGTGGGGAAAGAAGAGTTTCCTCTCTAGGACCACAGGGGAACAGCTACTGTTTTAAATGAGGATACTGTTTTAAATCTCAAGTATTTTGATATTGTTTCCACTAGACATCAGCCATATATGGTTTTCATAAATTGGACCTTCTCAGATATTGTACCAAACTAAAAAGAATACTCCACCGAGGATAACGGTATTTTCTTAACAAGAATTTCAATACTGAAATGGGATGAAATTTTAGGTTCTGCTCCCTGTTTCTCTTGAGAAATTATAGATTAAGGTTAATGACAGAATATTTAAGGTTTAGCAAGGAGAATACCTCTAAACCACCTACTAACATTTAAATGTGTCCCCAGTGCTAGAGCCTTAAGACACAGGACACTTAAGAGATGGTTAAAATCTGAGGGCTCCTTATGGAGAAGACACACTATAAAGTGCTGTGCTTGCCGGGCGGTGGTGGCGCACGCCTTTAATCCCAGCACTCGGGAGGCAGAGCCAGGCGGATCTCTGTGAGTTCGAGGCCAGCCTGGACTACCAAGTGAGTTCCAGGAAAGGCGCAAAGCTACACAGAGAAACCCTGTCTCGAAAAACCAAAAAAAAAAAAAAAAAAAAAAAAAAAAGTGCTGTGCTGGTTGCTTATTTCATCTTGACACCAGCCACAGTCATCTGGGAGGAGGAAACTGCAATCGGGAAAACCATTCCATCAGAATGGCCTGTGGGCAAGTCTGTCGGGAATCTCCTTTATTAATGATTGATGTGGGAGGGCTCAGCCTCCTGTGGGCAGTACCAACCTTGGGCAGGTGGTCCTGGCTTATGACAGCAGACTGAGCAAGCCATGGAAAGCAAGCCAGGAAGCAGTGTTCCTCCACGGCCTCTCCTCCAGTTCCTACATCTGTTTTCCTGCCTTTCTTTCCACCCTGACTTTCCTTGAGGATGGACTGTAACCTCCAAGGTGAAATAAGCTCTATTCTCCCCAAGTTCTTTTTGATTAGCATTGGAGAAGTAGAACATGTGAGTTTCTGATAAAGAATAAGTTTGCTCCACCCCTACCTTTCCCCTCTGCTTTCCATCATGAGATGACACAGCAGAAGACTATTGCCAGATGCAAGTTCTTTCTTCGTGGACTTCCCAGCCTCCGGAACTGTAAGAAGGAACTCTCTACTTTATAAACTGCCGACTCTCCAGTGTCCTGTCATAGCTGTACAAAATGGACTAAGACGCAACCCATCTGGAATTCATCTGAGGAACTGATGGTTTCACCTGACATGAGGGATCACAAGAAATGAGACACTTTTGAGATGTGTTTGATTTTTTTTTTTTTAAAGAAGGCAACTATGAGATAGACACACGGTGAAAAGAAAGGAAGGAGAGAAAAGAATATTGCATCATCTGTGTGCGCGTTTCGCTGTACCATCCAAGATAAATGCTATTATCCACCAAGGTGCCGGAAACTGTGCTGAGATCTGAGCTCACTTCCCCTTTCATGTGCCTCTTACTCTGTCTTGTTGATGGGTGTCAATCAATGGTTCTACCATTGTTTAACCATCAGGTCCAGCTCAGCTCAGATTCTAAACCTTTGTTAATGCCAAGAGTATATTTTTCCTGTTATTGCTACAGCATCACTATGGTAACAGTTATGGCACAGACTATGAAGCCCTAAGCAGAATTAAGGACATCCTGTGGACCAAGGCGAACATCAGATGTGCATGTGGTACATGGAAGTGTGGCCGTAATTGCTTCCTGCTGGCCAGCCTGGAGAAGTGACAAGTGACCTTCTTTCTGAGCTTCACATAAAGCCAATCAATTGCTTTCTTGCAAAGAATTGTGCAGGAAGTGCTGAGGCTTATCTCCTTGCAGGGACGATCCAGAGGGATGTGCTGCATCTATTCTCCGAAAGGAAGTAATCAATACACTAGAATTTAGGGAAGCAGAATTCATTTTCTGTAACAGTCTCCTACCAAAGGTCTCAAGCTTTTTCTGCTACATTTAATCACTTAAAATGAAGGTCCAGAAAGACACGTTATCTTCCTTTCATGAAGAAGGGGACCCAGACATAAAGCAAAAATCCAAATTAGCAGCTAGCTGCTCTTCCCTGTCTCCTTTCTCTCCTGAGCCTCTTAACACTTCCTCCTCACTATCACCCAGCTGTCTCTCTTCATTCCCCTCCACCTTCTTCTCAACAGGATTTACAGTGACTTTGAGAAACATCCTAGCTAAGGAACACTGTGGTGGGCTGACTAATCCTCTGACCCGCCCATTGCCTAATCCCCCCACAAGCTGTGCATACTTCACCTTCCACGATAAAGGTGATTATGCTGAGGACCTGGAGAAGAAGATGATCCTGGATCATCCAGGCAGGTCCGGTTTGATCACTACAGTGCTTGTAAGCAGGAGGCAGGGGAACCAGGGTTGTAACAGCGGCAAGTACCGGGTTAAAGGGAAGCAAGCAAGGTGGTTATCCAACAAAGAGCATAAGCAGGCTCTGAAAACGGAAAAAGATGAGGAAACAGATTCTTTTCCAAGAACCTCCACAGAAGAAACAGCTCCCCACCCCCAACACACACCAAACACCTTGACTTTGACTATTGAGAATAAATGTGGACTTTTAACCTCCAGAACATTGAGGTAATGAATGTGGTTTTTCACATTTGCTTATTTTATTTGGAGTGTGTACGCTTGTGGAGGTCAGAGAACAACGTGTGTTTTTCTCCCTCCACCGTTGGAGAACCTGGGTATCAAACCCGGGCCATCAGGCTTGGCAGCAGAAGCTTTTGCCAACCGAGTCATCCCTGTGCCCTGTAGATACTAAAATTATGATAATTTTTATGACTGAAATAGGAAACCGATGTAAAGAAAGGCAATTGATGATTAAGAGAGATTCAAGAGATAAGACAAAGAAACACAAAATATGATTCTGGAATTGTTCCTGAAGTAGCCTTTTTTTTTTTCCTTTTTATCCATTTACTAAAATGGGCATTAGTGAGACAATGGATGAGATAAACAAAAGCTATGGATTAGGTGCATAGTTGCTCAAGGTTAATTTTCTAATTTTGAGACTTGTACCAGGGTTGTGTAGGCTGTCTTTGTGTTTACAAAATATACATGGAAGGATTTATGGAGAAGGTGGCAGATCTCCAAGTTACTCTCAAGTAACTTCCACACAGAAACATTAATAAAAGACGTGAGTAAAGATAGAGTGATATTACTAATAGGGTAAGTGTTCTCTTTTGGACACTTTGGGTCATATACACACATACACACACATGTATTTTCCTAATCTGAAATTAATTAAAACTAAAAAGGTATTTATGTACTGAAATGTAAATTTCCTCACAAGCTATGTTGTTCTAAATCAACATGAAACTCCACTTAGCCTAACAGTTTTACCAGAATATGATTGCAACCAGCATTATGATTTGGCAAACTTTGAGGCAGGTAAGCTGCAGAGGCAGCAGCTCACATCTGCATTCTGCTCTTCAAATCCCATCCAGCACTCCTGTAACCCTAAGCTTCCTCTGACCTCCACCTTTCAGCCTGTGGACAAGGTTCCCTTCAGAGCCAACAGTCTGTAAAGGCAGCTGCTCCTCATCTGACTCGGCCAATACGGACCACCAGACGATCCAGATCTTATTCCAAGGTCTTCTTTGTTTAGAAAGGATGGCTCAGAACATGGTTCTCCTCGCGTGTGTCTTTTCTTGGACTGTCAAACGGTCTCTGCAATCCTTGTAATCATTTTAGAATCTTATCTTTAAGCGTGTAGCATCCAGACAACTGTTCCTTCATTGTGTTCTATGAGCCATTAGGAAAATTTTCATTTAAAGCGTTTTTCTTTTTCAACTATGGCCCTATTTGTGTTGAATTTGAATAGTTACCATATTGTTTTCAGAAATGCTAGAAAAGCCAAGTATAGTGGCTGTCTCCTGCAATCCCAGCACTCCAGAGCTCGAGGGAAGAGGGTGGCTGTGAGTCAGGGTCAGGCTGAACTATCTTGTGAGTTCCAGTCCAGCCCACATCTGCAAAGGCAAGACTCTGTCTCAAAGAAATGAAAACAAACTGGAGAAAGTTAGGACCGGTAGTAGATTGTAATCTAAACTGGTTTATTAATGTGCCATATGTGATGTGCATGAACTTTAACTCTGCCCTATTACCATCATCACTCTGTAACTTTTGTTTCCCAGTCACTGACAGCTGTGTATATTTCAGATGATCACACTACCTGCCAGTTGATTAACTGGTACACTAACATTTCTAGCATGATGCTATGGAAATTTGATATCTCCACTGTCATGGAATCAAAGCTTCAGGTTTTTTTTTTAATATTCCTTTATGATGTGCATGTGTATAGTAAAAAGTAAATCACATACTTTGGAAAACTCTCAAAGTTTATGGGATAATAAGGGAAGCAGACAGAAAACAGCAATTACCAATGTGTGGTTTTATCAGCTATTAAATATGCATAAATATACAACTGAAATCATTATCTGCCTATTCTTCTACCTGCATGGTACGTGAATAAAACAGAAGTGCTAACCAGGCATGGGATTGTGGGGACCTACCCCACTGGGAACTTAGGTCACCTGTGAAGAGGTGGCCTGGAACCGAGGAAAGGCAAGTATTTGGGGTCTAGCTGCTAAATCCCAATGAGGGGGCACCTCCTCCCAGGGGATTACTGTCCTGTCAGCTCCTGTATCTACTAGAAAGTGGAACCTTTTTCCACCTATAACAACACTCATCTTGGGGCGGTGACCTGGAGTCAAGGGAACGGTCCAGTCGGCATGGGCCACTCTGGAGGGCCGTGCCTGCCCCTTCTTAAGGGGGGCTACTCCTTTAGTTGACCGGGCTAGAGGGTGTCCCTGTTCTAGTTTAAAGGCTTCCCATCAAAATCAAACTTTGATCTACAGTCTTTTCTCCAATGATATCCCTTCTGACACCTAGGACAGGGGGTGGTGGGGTGCTTTATTTCTCCTGACCGACCTAAGGCCTTTTTTTTGGCCATTGGGAGGCTGTTGCAGAGGACACTCTAGCTTAAAATGTCCCTCCTGCCCTCATTTAAAGCAGGCCCCCTGGGTTGTAGGCTTCGCAGTCCCCTGACTCTGGGTTACCAGGGCCCGTGAAAAAGCCTCAGTCAGGGCAGCCATCTGGGATTGCAACGCTAAGGCCAGCGTCTGGTTCTGGTGATGCTGGGTGCCTAGATCTTGTGTGGCTACCACCTACCAGCCCATGGAAGTCTCTTTCAGCCCTGCACAGGCAGCATGTGTTCTGCATTCATTCCATCCCAGACCAGAATCTTTATAAATTGGTCCTAGAGGGGTCCAGTTGGTAGTTTGCGATTAATGCTTTGTTGGACCCGGTCTATAAATTCTGGTAGGGTCTCATTGGGCTTGTGCCTAACTCCAGCTATGGGGGATTCTGTAGGCCCTTCATCTGGCTTTCCCCAGGCTGCTAGTCCTGCCTGTCGCACCTGGTCTCGGTATGGCGCTGGGACCGTGGCCTGCTGGACCCCAGTAGAGTACCTGTCAGCAGTTCCTGCCAACATGCCGTAAGTAATTGGGATCGCGGGCTGAGCAGCTCGATTGGCCTCTGCTCGGACTCTACATTCCTCCTTATAGTGTGCGCACCATTTGATATATTGGGTGCTTGAGAGGACAGCCTTAGCCAGGTCCAGCCATTCCTTGGGGACACAAGGATTATATGCAATATCTTGCAGTAGGGTCTGGGACCAAGGGGCATTCGGCCCATCCTCTGCCACTGCCTTGCGGAGTTCCTTAAGGTCTTTAGCCTCCCATGGGTACCATTCTTGTGGCCTATTAGGGCCGGGGGCCAGATTAATGGGAAATGCCTGGAGGGGCTGTTCTTGGGGCCCTGTGCCACTGGCTCCCCGATCCCTGGCTGATGGCCAGTCATAGGTACCCCAGTCACATAGGTCCCTTCTAAGGGTGGTATATGGCAAGGAGCATTCCCCTGTTTCAAGGATATAAGTCAGGGGGCCCTGCTCCTTTGGGGCATATGAATCATAAGGTGCAGAGGGGGTGACTTTAAACTTGGTCTCTTCACCCTCCTGGTCCTCTTTGCCTTCCCTGGCTTCCCCTGGCTCTTGGGGATTTTTTGGAAAAATGGCATTACCCATACTGAGGGTTTCACTTACCCTGGAAGACCGCTTGGCCTCGGCCGAAGTACTTCAAGCCCCACATTTTAGGGCGCCAGCTGTGGGGACCTACCCCACCAGGAACTTAGGTCACCTGTGAAGAAATGGCCTGGAACCAAGGAAAGGCAAGTGCGCACTGCTCTCCTGTTCCCCATCCTCCCTCTTAACCTGGAGACAATCAGGCCCAGCGGGAAGTCAAGTCAAGCAAGAACTCGTTTATTGATAGGCAGTAAGTCTCGTTTATACCAGAAAACCTCAGAACCCTAGGAGGGGATGAAGGAACCAACCAATCATTTTAAAGATCACCCTATTTACAAGTTGTTTATGCCCTGACATCATCTTAATAATAACTTGAGCTAACTTCCTTTCTCACTATTTGTCTTTAGTCTCCATACAAACAACCCAAGCTAACTTTCTTTTAGCCATCCTTTGTATCTATTTTCTGCACAAACAGCATAAAGCTTAAGCTCTATTTATCTAAATTTCTTTCGGCACCCTCTTTGCAGCCCATGTATGCCCCACATGGGATTGCACAGCTTTAATCCCAGCACTCAGAAGGTAGAGGATCCCTGTGAGTTCATTGCCAGCCTGGTCTACATAATGAGTTTCAGGTCAGCCAGTGCTACAAAAAAAAAAAGGAAACAGATGGTAATTATAGAGTACCTGAATGATACTCCAGTTTCTGGTAAGAGCTGGGTGGACTCACGAATTAAACTCTCTGCAGATGGCCTTTAAAAAATCTGGCCAAATGTAAAAAGGAACCAAAAGGCAATCTAAAGGAGGCAGTTACTTGATAAACTGTGTTCTAGTTGACTTTCTCTACATGGCGACAGAGTGACAGACATAAACCACTTGAGAGAAGAAGAACAAGGGAGGGATTTGAGACCAGGTATAACTTCCAAAGGCCAGCTCCTAGTTACCTACCTCCTCCAAGTAGGCCCTTCATTCCGAAGTTTTCAGAACCTATCCAAATACTGTCACCAGATGGGGACCAAGCGTTCAATGCAGGAGTCTACAAGGACATTTCAGATTCAGCCCACAATAAAATGCGACGTATTGTGCTTTTGTTTTTGCTGGTTTACTATTTTCTTTAATCGTCACAGCTACTGAGGCAGAAAAGGGGGTTAATAAGTATGAGATGGCTGAGGACACATCTCGCTCGCTGCTAGAAGAGAACTGGGAAATAAATGATGGCAAAATGCTAGAAGCCAGAGAGCAGCAGAGTGACCGAGATTCTGTTTCAGTGTGCACTTTGGCCACATCCCCTGCTGAGTGCTGAACTACTCACTCACTGGCAATGCCCCAGGCTAGATGGCCAACAACCGAAACAATACCCCAGACACACATCAGAGAGGGGCTATGTTTGAAAGACAAAACTGCCCTGGGTGAGATTCATACTTCTGCTTTGTTGTGTGTGTGCCAAGTGGGCACAGCTCAGGCAGCTCAAAGCTGAAGCCTGACTTGGTGGAAGTATCAGGACATCAGCTGTAAGTGGAAGAGTAGCTAGAAATTTCTTGTAAGAACAAGAAAACAGAGAATCAAACAAAATCCTGAAAACTGGATTGAGTTCGTGCTCAGGTGTTCAGGTGATCACGAATCCACTCAAATACTGGAAAGACACCCTGGGGGAGTCGAGGAACATGTGCAAAACTAACAGAAGCTGGATGGAGGAAGGTAAGAGAAGAAAAAGAATCATCAGAGATATCAGCTACTGCAGGAGACACACAGTGAAATTTAACACGTGAGTCCAGACAAGTAAATTGTCTACTAGAACAAAACCCGATAGTCATCAGAGAAAACAGTAGGACTCAGAATTGCTGCAATGGAGTACCAATAATGCCCAGTTTTCACTGCAACTTATTAGACATGTCTAGAGAGAGGAACAGAAGAAAGCTGGAATGGCAAGTTTAGTATCATACTTTGTAAAATTATTACCAAGGGCAGAGGCACCTCATAAGGGTAAAATAAAGAACCATCATGAGTGTACACATGCCCAATTACAGAGCAATAAAATGGAACAAGAACTTGAACAACTAAAGGAAGAAGTAGATAAGGCATAAACCTCATTGATCTTAACAGTTTTTCATAGTTGACATAAATAAAAATATCAGTACCAAAAATGAAGTTGTAGATAACACTATGTCTGACAGGGATCTAGTTGACGGTTTAATCCGAAACCATTATAAAACCAAACAATTGCAGAACATGCCATCTCTTCAAGACCACATGGAACACTCCTTATGATGGGCTTTATTCAGGACTGTTAAAGAAAAATTCTTAACAGATTTAAATGAATGAAATCTTACAGGTGAATTTTCTGATCTCAAAAGAACTGGAAGTCAGATACAGAGAGAGACACGATCAAGAAAGTTAAAAATACACATCTAAACATATAAGCTAGACAAGAAATCACACCAAAAATTAATCTAAATCAGGTAGATTACATAACCTTTCTTGTAGATAGTTGGCTTCCTCTGTGATCACCTCAAGGCTTCTTCAAATGGACGCATGTACAAAGAGCCATGCCCCCAATGGCATGGATTCTGAATGGTTTCACTAATATGAACTTGTCTCAAAAAGTCTGATCTCACTGTTGCCCATATGAAGTGTACAGGCCATCAACAATAACAGTTAAATTTTAATTCCCTGTTCAACTGTATTTCTTAGGAGACCAACCGGCCACCTGGTGACATTCTATTGCACATCAAATATTGCAGAGGGAGAAGCCATTCACCTGGTAGAACAGGTCCTATTCTGGGTGTGCATCCTCCTTCCTGGCTCAAAGCTCTTCAGTGGTTACTACCATTATTTGCAGACTGAAACACTATTAGATTACTTTGCTCTCCCATATAGTACCTTTGCCCAGAAGATCCATTTTAAATCAGAGGAAGTATGAAAATTAACTATAACTTGGAATTCAGTGATTTTAACACAAGATTTCATTGCCCAGTAGTCACCGATAGTACTGAATGTTCTGCAGAAGGCTCAGATACGAAGCAAGCTGTGAGACAACAGTAAGAGACATTGAAATACTATAGAACCATGGTTCTCAACCTTCCTAATGCTGCGACCCTGTAATACAGTTCCTCATGCTGTGGTGACCCCCAACTATAAAATTACTTCATTGCTACTTCATAACTGTAAGTTTGCTATTATGAATCATAAAGTATCTGATATGCCCGATATCTGATATGTAAAGAATCTAGCATATTCCTTAAAATAGCACTCTCTGTATTGTGCCATCTGCCTATGGCTGCAATTCAGACACCCAGTGTGCTGGTGTTTTGTTGTTTTTGTTTGTTTGTTGTCTACCCGGCACAAGCTAGAGTCACCTCGAAAGAGGACCCTCAGTTGAGAAAATGCCTCCATCAGACTGGCCTGTGGGCAAGTCTGAAGGGCATTTCCTTGATTAATGGTTGACCTGGGAAGGTCCAGCCCACTCTGTGAGCAGTGCCACCCCTCAGCAAGTGGTCCCGGGTTGTGTAAGAAGGCAGGCTAGCAAACCTTGGAAAGCAGGGAGTAAGCAGCACTCCTCCATGGTCTCTGCTTCATTCAGTCCCTGCCTTGAGTGCCTGCACGACTTCCCTTTCTGACAGACTAAGCTATAAAAGGAAATAAACCCTTTTCTCTCCAAGCTGCCGTTGGCCATGATCGTTTACCTCTGAAGTAGAAAGCTACTAGAACACCCAGGAACAAGATGATGACCTTCTTATTATTACAACAAACTATTTGCTTAAGGAATTTCCTCCTTTTAGCCCTATAAATTTGTTCCCAGTTACGGAAAGTGTAGTGATTACTGGATAATTTCTATTGGTGCCTTCTACTATGCAACTTGCTTGCATCCTGAGTATTTAAATGATAATTATCGGACAATACAACTTTACGATCACCAAAATTCAAATTTCATATTATATTGCACACCTCAAAATATTCATTTGAATCCTGGCTTAGATACCCAAACTGATACGGAATTAGAAGCAATAGAAAAGGTCATAGAAAATGCATTGTAGTGAGAGCCCTGGTAAGGCCAGGGTGCAAAGCTGGCTGTTACCTTCCCTTAGACATGCACAGTTTTCCCCTTCCTTGAGTCATTTCTTATGTTTTCCCTGTGTTGCACTTCAGGGATTATTTTACCCCAGTGTATATATTTTTCCCCCATCTCCACTTATGTCTCCCAGGGGCTTTTGCATTTAAACAGAAAGCATTTGGAAGACTGAAGCCCATTCAGAAACAGAGAAATAGCTTTCTACACAAACGCTTCCGCAAAAGGCGAGATGTTTCATTAAAATACATTTCCTCATTTCCTCGATGTGACCACCTGATGGAATAAAACGTTGGCTTGTATTCCCCTCACAAAAGAGACAGTCATCCTGTTCTCCTGACTTGGGGGCGACCCTGCTTTTCCCTCGCTGCCCATCAGTTGGCGCCTTTTGCCTTCCCCCCCAACCCCCACCCCCGATCCAGCTTTGGGGGCTGCAGTCGCTCCGCAGCTCGCAGGTCACATGTCCTGGCGGAACGAGGGGAGCCCTGCGCGGGAGCGGCTAAGGGAGTAGGCGAGGCTTCCGCTGCTCCAGCCCGGCGGGGTTCTGCGAAGGCGCCTCCACTGAGATCGGCCAGCCTGGGCTACCGCGGCGGCCGCGGCGGCCTTGGCAAGCCAGGACACAGCTGACCGCCTCCTCCACGGGGTAGGTTTCCTGCCAGGCTGGTGTCGCGATGTAGGAACGGTGCCCAGGAGGCCCGCGTCCCCCGCCGTGCGCCCCGCAGGCTGGCTCGGCCGCGGCCCCGCCCTCGGTGCGTCTGCGGCACAGGGCGGGGGCGGCTCGCCCTCCTGCGGTCGCCCGCCAGGCCGGGCTGTCACCAGGCCGAGGGATGCAGCCACCGAGCCCCGCAGAGTCGGGCCGCGCGGGCAGCCGGAGCGCTGCCGCCTAATGGCTGCCCGGGAGCGGGGGCCCCTCCGCGCGTCCTCGGTGGGGCGCGTCCTCCCGCGAAGGTGACCCGAGGAAGGCGCCCCTCCCCGCTCCCGGAAACGCCCGCGCTTGGAACGCCGCTGCGATGGATTCGGGCAGTCTCGGCCTGCAGGTGGGGAAACTGAGGCCGGAGGGCAGCGGGGACTCCCCAAGGTCAGCGGCAGCCCTTAGATGCCAGGCTGCGGGTTCTCTTTTAGTATTCTTCTCCTCCAAAGTGATAGTTAAGATGGATGGGTGTGTCTCAGCCCTCGCGCTGGCTCTCGTGCCCAGGCGTTGCCCGTGCCGCACTGCGCTCGGGGAGGTGTCCTGGGGCCTGAACCCGCGCAGGTCGCTGTGACCTGGCATCTCCTGCTTGGCCCTTACTCTCTCCCTTCGGGATCACAGCGCAGCATCTATGATGATCTCACTATGAGGACTATCAGCAAAATCTGCAGGTGTGTGAGCCCCGGAGTGCAAGGCTCTGTTTCCCCAAGAGAAATAACATGAGAATGGTATTAACATGAGAATCAGAAAAAAGGGAGGGGGGGGATGATAATCATGAAGCAAAAAAGAAAAAAATAACAAAATAGAACTACATCTTCTAGATTGATGACATTCTGTTTATTTTTAAATTTGTTTACATTTGAAGTTTTATATTAATAATGTAGAATAATGGTATGTAGTTTTAATTTGCTTTACCTATAAGAATCAATACTTAATTTCCAATGTATTAGTCTTTTGCATGGATGGAATATTAATTCTTTTCCCCATATTTTAATTGGAGTACATTTATTGTAGTTTTCCTAGTCATAATTCGAAGAACTCTTTAAAATACTTCCATCAATTTTTAAAAAATTACGATGGTAGTTATCTGACTATGAATTTGTCAAAACTTTGAAATATACAATTAAATGGTACATTCTGTTGTAGTAAAGTGTGCCTCAATAAAGTTGTTTTTTAGACAAGATCGGGGTCATTCAGGGTGGTATAACTGTAAACCAAAGTTGTTTTTTAAAGCCAGGAGAATTATGCTGGGTCGTGAGAAAAAAGTATGCCTAATTAGATAATAAAATGTGTTATAAAGTCTCAGTAATTAAAATAACAGAGCCATGGCACCAAAATACATAAAAATGCCTACAGCTGGGCATGGTGGCACAGGTTTGCAAACCCAGTACTAGGAAGTTTGAGGATCTCCAGTTTCAGTCCAGTCTGGGCTTCATAGCAAGACCCTGTCTCAACATATTAAGTAAGAATTAATATAATAATAAAAACCCTCGAACATACAAATATAAGAGAATCTAGTATGCCATAAATGTAACAGTTTCAATTTAGGGATTAAAAAAGGACTTAGGTTTCGTTGCTGCCTTGCTCAATGTCCATGTGCCTGGCACAAGACTTCGTGTTGAGTCAACTGCTGAGTACAGGCCATTGATGTCATAGATGTCCATGGCAGGCATGCAGAAAGCCAGCAGGAAACCTCCTTCTCTCATGTCTCTCATCTCACTTTCATTAAACTATATTCCCTATTTTAAAAAAAATGGTCACATACGTACACTTTCTTCAACATAATTGTCCTTCCCTTCCTATTTATCACCCCCCCACACACACTTCTATAACAAACAGAATTTAAGTGAAAAATTCTTACTGATTTTAGGTAGCATAGCTCATCATTTCTGCCAGGTGTTTTCCTTGAAGGAGAATTGCTATCCCTTGTCTTAGGGATGCCCTGGTGTTAGCTTCTAAGATTGCACCAATCTACATGCAAATGTGCATTTGCTGAACTGTATTGCTTCTTCCTGGAGAATTGAATTGAGATTGTGTTATCAGGATTAGAGTTGGAAAAAGGACCATCTTTCCAGTAGAAGAGTGTTTTTTTTTTTAATGCATTTATTAGTGACTTTTAAAATACCCTTTAGTATAACGTTTTGTGTATGATCTGCCTATTTCTTCAAATTATTCATAGGTATTCCATCTTTATTCTAAATGTATTTCTTTTCCATTTTGCCTGAGTTTTTTAAAATGCCAGGAATTAAGTTTCATTGGTGAAGTGAAAGCATTTATTTTATGTATTTTATAAATATGTAGTATGTACATCTCTTCAGAGGTAACCAGTGGTGCCATTTATACACACACACACACACACACACACACACACACACACACACCATGTATTATTTTACGTTGTGACCTACTATATCCTAAAAGGTTTTTTTGGCCATTTTTTTTTTTTTTTTTTTTTTGTGGTGATATATTGTGTAGAAAGTTGGCTGAGGATCAGAGGACAGAGCCAGCAACTAGTTTAGACATAGAGGTCAGGCAGTGATGGCACACACCCTTAATCCTATCACTAGGGAGGCAGAGATCAGTCTGGATCCCTGTGAGTTTAAGGCCACACTGGAAACAGAGCCAGGCAGTGGTGGCACACACCTTTAATCCCAGTACTGGGGAAAGACACACGCCTTTAATTCCCAGAAGTGATGTCTGGCAGATAAAGGTATATAAGGCATGAGAGAACAGAAACTCACTCTCTTTAGGCTGAGGATTTCCAAGAGGTAAGAACTAGTGGCTAGCTGTTCTACTTCTCTGATCTTTCAGCTTTCACTCTGATACCTGGTTCTGGGTTTTCTATTAAAAGACCGTCTAAGATTCGAACAAATTTTGATAGTTTTTCATCTGGTTTTCTAGGTCCCAGAAGCAGTAGTAGATATTGGGTGAGAGCAGAGATCCTGGGTTTACTTTTCACTACCCCATTCCAGAATCTTTGTTAACTACTGCAGGTTTACTGTGCCTTAGCTTGTCCAGTTACAAAGTGGACTTAATAACTATCATAGACTTTTTATGCAGATCCACTCAATGCTTAAAAGAGTGCCTGGCACACAAGTGCTGGGCAGAGTTAGAAACAAGTTGTTCTCTGCTCTGTGTGTGATTGGACTCTATACTACTCCCAATTTTACAGCAGAGGATTATGGGGCCATGGAGACCCAAAGACTTAATGGGATCTTTTACTTGCTCAGCAGTCACTAAATCTCTTCTCTGCATAGCGTACTATGCTGGGCCTGTGAGGCATATCAAAGGTAAATTACACTGAAGCCAGTAAGAAGGGACTTAGAGGCCCATTGAGTAAAGGGTTATGAGTCAAGCCATGAAAGGCATCAGGCATCGTGGGCAGTATGTGGGCTTCGAATTTCCTGCTCACAGTTTGCTAGAATCTGTTTTCCATCAAAATGGGATTAATTGTACTCCTCTTTGAAAGCTGCTTGTCCGGTCTAAAGAAATGGATTCAAGGGTCTAGCACACGCTGGAATATGTAGTGAGGATTGGACAAATACCTATAAATAGATACTCTACTCTGTATCTCAGGGTCCACATCTGTGCATTCAACTCACTGTAGATTGAAAATGTTCCAAAAAACTGAACATGTATGTATTGATTTTTACTGTCATTATTCCCTAAACAGTACAACATAGCTACTATTTACAAAGCATTTGCCTTCTGATAGGTATTAGAGATAATTTAAAGTATTCAAGAAGCGCATAACTTGCATGCAAAGCCTGATGTTTTATATAAAGAATTTGAGCAGCCTCAGATTTTGCTATTGGTGTCCTGAGGGGTGGGGAGTCCTGTAGCTAGAGTTTTCCTGGTCCTGCCTGGCCCACGATCAGGACAAATCTCTCACTAGTGTCCCCCAAGTAAACACACAAAGACTTATATTACTTATAAACTGTATGGCCATGGCAGGCTTCTTGCTATCTGTTCTTTTATCTTAAATTAACCCATTTCTATTAATCTATACCTTGCCATGTGGTTCATGGCTTACCGGTATCTTACATCATGCTTCTCCTCATGGCGGCTGGCAGTGTCTGCTCCTCAGCCTTCTTCCACCCACCATTCTCTTCTCTCCTTGTCCCACCTACACTATCCTTCCTGCCTGGCTACTGGCCAATCAGCGTTTTATTTATCAATCATAGCAACATATATTCACAGCATACAGGACATCCCACAGCAGAGTCCTAGAATTAATCCACCTTGAATACCAAGGTAGAAAGTGACAAATAAATGCTCTGGGGAAAATTAATGTAAATGGTCTTAATATGTGTAAGGGAAATGCACTTAGATCTGGTTGGGGGAATCAGGTTGACTTTTAGAGGAGATGTGTACCTCTTGATCTGATTTTTCATGGTTGAGTTGGTGTGTATAAAAAGGGTGCTGTTGGGGGCCGGGCGGTGGTGGCGCACGCCTTTAATCCCAGCACTCGGGAGGCAGAGTCAGGCGGATCTCTGTGAGTTCGAGGCCAGCCTGGTCTCCAAAGCGAGTTCCAGGAAAGGCGCAAAGCTACAGAGAAACCCTGTCTCGAAAAACCAAAAACCAAAAAAAAAAAAGGTGCTGTTG